TTTGGGAGGGGGGGGGAGTTCCGCCTTTTTCAGAACTAAAATCAGTGCACATCTGTTCAGTGTGTGTGGAAGTCAGTGGGTCTGCATGCACATCTGAGGGTGAACGCACACCGTCCTGGCTTCCACCCAGACATCACAGAGGAGCTTTTCCTAAGCGATCTGAGACTAAGAGCTCTGAGATGCATTTTTCCCCATTTTGTTCCATCAGTCGAGGAAAAGCTGGAATTTAAAAGTGTGATCTAAGATCTGCTCTAAACCGGGCCGATTGTATCGGAGCATTTATAAAAGCTGTGCTCTCCCCTCCGCAGGCTGCAGCCGGCACACATAAGCCCATCTACGCAGTGGTGGATTTGTCCAGCAGGGGCCCCCATCCCACGGTCAGAGCCCCCAGCGGGGGCCCAGACGTGGTGTACTCTGTTCCCCGGCTGCGCGGGGGTTGTGAGCCGCGGCGCGCCTCCGATGAGTGTCTGTACTCCAACGTGAGGTAGCCGCTGGCTTCTCACTGCAGCTTCTCCCACTGCAGCTGTTCATTTAAGGCTGAGTCTTTAACTTATTCTGTGATAGGAAACATTGTTTACCCTCTGCAGCCGGTTCCTCTCAACCCTCCCCGTTTAGGGGTCACTTTGGACCCATTTGTACTTCCTGCCTTTTAGCCTATTAAAGTGTATTTTTTTTAGTCCTTCTGCTTCTTTTCTTCTTTTCAAACAGTGACCGACAGTATGTTGCCTGTGAAACTGAAAGAAGCACAGAGCTCATTTTGGGGCCATGATTTCCCTAAAACTGTCACGTCTGGTGTCTCGTCATGTCTTGATTACCTATTGTGTACACCTGGGGTTCCCTTCCCTCATGTGCTTAAATAGTCCTCGTTTCCCCTTGTCTTGTGCGAGTGCGTTTCGTCTCTTGTCTGTTTCGTCACCCCCACGCCAGGTTTGTTTTCGTCATAGTTCTGCCATAGTCACAGTTTTGTCACAGTCTTGTTAATCTTTATTTTGTTACTTTGTCATAGTTTTGCCACAGTCTTGTTTGCTTTGCTTTGATACTTTGCCCACAGTTTTCCACAGCTTTGCTTTGTACTTTGTCTGGACATTCACTCGTCATGAGTTTTTTTTGTTACAATAAACCTTGTTCCCCTCATCTCCGCAACTGAGTCCTCCCTTCAAGACCCACCTCCCTGACAAAAACAGATGATTTAGTCATTATTGTACATGGTGAGCAAAGGGAACAGACAGAGCAAGCGTGTGTGTC